CCGACGAGGAGGACTTGTCGACCAAGCCGCGTTGCCAACGATGCCGGAAGAGCAAGAAGGGCTGCGATCGGCAACGCCCTTGCGGCCGATGCAAGGATGCTGGCATCGGCATCGAAGGGTGCATCAGCGAAGACGAAGGAAACGGTCGCAAAGGCCGCTATGGTCGCCACATGGGGGTCCCTGTCAAGAAAGCATTCGACGCCACTCCGAATGGAGTCGAGACGCAATCCATCGTGGCCGCTATTCCGGTGACCACAGCGGCTAGCGTGGATAAGAACAAGAAGCGCAAGCGTTAGCTGGATTCCAATCCCAGCAATGAGGATGGCTGTGTCTGGCCCATGACCTCTCGGACCTCTCGCTCCTCTAACTCACTTTTTACCTTTTCGCCCACACCGGTCGTACCGAACCATTGATGAGCTGCGCCTGGATGGCTGCATTTCTCCTGACATATTACACCTTTTAACATAGACGAATCGACATTCTTCCGTGCATTGTATCCTTCCCCTCCTTAACGAGTTTTTTCCACGCGGACCGTTGGCTTGATCATCTTGAAACTCTCCGAATCTCCCCCATCATATATCACTGAATACTTCTTCCTCTCCCCGGAGCCGGCCTGCCTCTTGGGATGTCCTTCCTTCATCGCCGGCGGGATTCGTGCACGACGTCTCTCTTTGTATCTTGCATCGAACTCACGAGTGCCGCGCTCCCTTCATTCTCTCTACCTCTCTACCTCTCTCTCCTCGGATCGCCAACCTAGTTCGCATTACCGTCTGCATTCTGCCTGGCCTGTTATTTCTCATGGATAGTCTAGCGATTGAGCTGAGCGGGTTGATTGAGCTTCCTGAGTTGTGTCTTTTGGCGTTAGTTGCTGCAATGTTTTCGCGGCCACGGTCCGGGGTCGCCTCCACTCATTTAGGCCCCCATTGAAAGAGCGGATGTATCTGGATTACTTGGTTGTGTTTTGAATGGCTTTGCTGGTGCCCGTCTGATTTCAACTGGAGATGAATTACAACTTGCAAAGAGGTCTAGTGTGATCAATAAGAAATATATATTGAATTTTATGAGTCACAGCAGATCTGTAAGCGAGCTGTTAGTAGAATTAAAGGCTAGCCAATAGACAGAATAGAAAGTCTCTAGTCTACTTGCTACATTTGAATAGACCCATTGTTCAACACCAACTCAATGCGATCCATCACATCCAGTGAATGGCTGCCATTAATTGACAGAATTATTGAAGCAACCCGATCTGAGGTGATGTCCGGATCGGGTTAGCGCCGGCTGACTGGCGTTGCCCCGCATTAGCGGCCTGAGGCGCTAATTTCCTTTTTTTCTCCAACGCCGAGCGGGCGCGGATCCTGCCAAAAAGTTCCGTATCTTCATCTTCACTCGACTTCATTACCAATCCTCTCCCTTGCCTTTCATTTCTACTTTTCCTCTTCCCTACCTCCGGACGAGCCACCCTCTATATACCCTTCCAGCTCGTCCGTACTTTAACACTACTTCAACGCTACTCATTTCCACCCTTTCCACCACACCGATCATCCACATCCACATCCACCCATCATGCCTCCGAAAGGTGCTCCCCGACGAGGAGCACCAGCCGGCGCAGCCAGCCGCGCCAATGCATCTACAACCGCCTCAGCAAGTCCCGCGCCCAGCGCCACCACCACCGGCGACTCTCAGACTCCCACGCCCGGCCCATCAGCTTCCGGGCGAGCCCCCGTCCAGCGCCTCCAATCGCTCAAGAAACGCACACCCTCCGGCAGCATCGGACCGGCTGCGAAACCCCCCGGCGCGCCCGCTGCGCCCGGCGAACCCGCCAAACCTACACTCAAATACAAGCCGCGCGCCGTCGGCCGTCGCAGCAAGGAGGAGCGAGAAGCTATTGAGAAGCTTGAAGCCGAGCGGCATCGCGAGCGCCTGAAGGAGGCGGCGGCGATCCAGCGCGGCCGGGATCAGGGCGGTCCTGGTGGTCGCGGTGGGTTTGGGCGCGGGCGTGGCGGGCCTCTGGGGTCTGCGGGTGGGCCATTGGGATCGGGGATGTCTGGACGTCGGGGTAGAGGTGGACGGTTTGGACAGGATTCGAGACATTCGTCTATGTCGAGACGCAGTCGGTCGGTTATTGATTTGGGTAATACGGCGGCGGGGACTCGCGATTACTCGTCAGATGAGAGTGATGGGGAGGTGCGCATTAGTATTGACCAGATCAATTTGGATAGCGATGAGGAGGATCAGGAGCAGATGATGGTTGATAGCAAGAAGGGGAAGGCGGCAGTCAAGTATGCTGATGCGGAGAAGGGGTTGCGGCCTATTCGGGTTGAGAGACATGAGCATGAGGAGCGCACGGTCAGTGTCAATATGGAGTCGAGCTCGAGCAAGTCGGCAGAGCTGAGGGAGAAGGCGAAGGCGCAGACGAAGGAGGATGATGGCGCGCTCTTTGTGCAGCAGACTGATGATGATGCCGCGGCTACTACGGAGGGAGAGCCCAAGGTCAAGTCTGAGCCTACGGATGATGATGATCAGGTCATGACAGATGTTCCGCATGCGGAGGAGCCAGCTACGACGGACGATGGACTGCTGCCGGTGCAGAAGGTGAAGGTGCGCAGGAAAATTACACCCCCGTCGAACGAAGCTACGCCACAGCCCGAATCGGAGATCCCTGCTGCCGTGAAGGACCCGAAGAGTTTACTACGCACGAAGGAGGATATCGAAGAGTACGAGCGACACGAGCAGGACCTGGAGATTGTCAAGGACCTCTTCCAAAAGGAGCCTGAACCTGAGAAATCAGAGACCACCACCCCGGCAGAGGGAGAGGCCCCTGCTGTGGTTGCCAACGACCAGGATAAGGAGAAGGAGAGTACAACGGAGGACAAGGACAAGGAGCAGGAGGAGGACGATGTCAACAAGGACAAGTTGGCGGGGCAGCTGTTCCTGATGCAATTTCCACCGATGACGCCGAACCTGGTGGTACCGGGCAACAGCGAGAATCCAGTGGATGAAGCTACAGAGACGATGGCGGGGCAGAGCGCACCGGAGGTCAGTGGGTCGGAGCAGACAGGCGTCAAGCGCGAAGATGGCGTCGAGATCCTCGAGGGTGGGGAGGATGCCACGGCAACAGGGACGTCGTCCAAGATTGTCACTGCAGCCGACTGGGGCCTCAGCGCCGGGCGCGTCGGCAAGCTGAATGTCCATGCATCGGGTCGGGTGACGATGGACTGGGGAGGAATCAGCTTCGAGCTGGATCGCGCAACGGCCGTGGACTTTCTCCAAGAAGCGTTGATCGTGTCGACCCCGCCTAATGCAGCGGACGAGGAATTCCCGGATGATGAGAAGAAGGTGTGGGCGATGGGCCAGCTGAGTGGAAAGTTTACGGTGACACCGGACTGGGGGAAGATGTTGTAACAGAATGATGTTGTATGTAACAGTGAGAAGGCTGGTGGATGTTGACGCTATCCCACTGTTGATGGGGCTGTTGTTGTTGTGATAGCCTTGTTTATTTGGGAGGCAGGGAAGGGGGTTTACGTCATGCGGGATGGCTGGGGGACAGCCGATCGGATGTTTTGTTCATAGAGATGAAGATAAAGATAGAACTGTCAAAAGTTCAGATGCCAATGAGGAGAAACCCTGGGGATGATGTATTATCCACATGGATGGCTGTGAGAGGTGACGACGTAAGAAAAGAATGCCAGCCATGCCACGCCACAGCCATTGTGTGGTGTTGATGTTGATTGCCTTGTGGAAGTGATTGTCGCGGAGAAACAGCGTGATGTGCGGGACTATAATTAGTACACGGACCACCCGAGGGCAGCAGCAGCAGCAGCAGAGGGAGGCAGACACTGTATGTAATAAAGTGTGAGATGCCGAGTATGTGATGATCGATAGACTTTAATGAAGTATGATACTTGGGAAGTGTTAGCTGATGCGACATCCCGTGTTGATGAGAGGGATTTGCACATCATCAATTAATCCAGCTTAAGCTCGTCATTTTCAGGGCCGGTGAGCAACAAGCAAATTAATGTCTCACTTGAAATCGAGATAGCCTGATACACTGGGAAATAATACTGTTTATTACTAACATCCATACTAGTATCTATCTGCCCTATACAGTGCACTACACTAACTTATCATCCCGTCCCCAAATTCACCCAATAGCGGGAAATGAACCTCGCCCTCGCGTGGAGTTTCTCCTCCTTCTTATTGGTTCACCCGGGCTAGACCCTCTCCCAATCGGGCAAAAGCTGATGCCGATGGTTACAGGGATTGTCCCTGGTTCCACCGCTGCCCTTCTTGACAAGCTTCTGTAAGTGGCACGAGACAACCTTTCAACTGACGCTAGTCCCAGCCCGTGCTGACACGGCAGGATACAGCCAATTAGATATCTAAAATAGCGGGCCACTGCAGGCTGGGCAAACCCCACTAGGTATCTATTGGGGGCCACTTGGGCAAGTGGGGCTTTGTCCTAGAAGAGGAGAGGTCGGCGCAAAACGCTAAAGACGAATTAAATTTCCACTAATTTGGCAAAGGCCAGGGTCAGGGCCTCCCCGTTCCAGCTTGGCCTGTCAGCGTCTGGGCCGTTTCGCCTGTTTTCCCCCCCCTTCTTCTTTTCTTCTTCTGCTTTCCCGTCCGTCCCTGTTTTTTATTTCCTCTCCTGTTGCAACCCTTTCTCTCTCGCTCTTGCTTGTACTTTATTTATATTGTATTGTGCCCGTCGTTGTTGGAGACGGTCGTTGCTGTGGTTGTTGTTGGTTGTTGCAAATTTATTTAACATACACATACACTGTCGTTGCCGTTGCCTGCTTCTCCTGTATTGTTCGTTACAGGTTTCAGGAGATACACACCAGCCAGTCGTTTCTTTTGCGCTCTCGACTCTTCGCATCTGTCGCGCTCCCCGTTTCAGATCTCGACTCAGCTTACACCTTGACTTCGGTTACTGTGGGACTTGGATTCTTCCGTTGCTATTGTTGGTATCGTTGGAAGTGGGTGGATTATAATTCCTGGCACGGGTTTTTCTTCGCTTTAATCCAGCACGTTCTGGAATCCCGCAGCCTTGCTTGCTTGCATTGTTTCCCTCCGCACCGACCTTTTCTCGTCGCATTCTCGCACATCCACCTCCACACATTCACGATGAAGACCTCCACGATCCTCCTCTGTCTCGCTCCGACGATAGCCCTCGCCGTCGAGGCCGATCCTCAAATACCTCCCGCCGTGTCTCCCACGCCGTCCCTCCCCAATGCCAACCCGCCCGCCCCGTTGCCTGAGATCCCGATGCCGTCGAATGCAGAGCAACATGCGGAGTTACGGAAGATTCGCACGCTGCTAGAGATTCAAGATACTACAGATGCGACACGGGTGCAGGATCAACTGCCCGAACCAGCGAGCGGGAGAATCGGCCTGGCCGCATCGACAGGGGAAACCAAAGCGTTGCGCGCACGCAGTGAAGGCACACTCGGACAAACACCATGGATTGGCATGGCCATTGGATTGACCTGTACGGCATTGGCAGCAGTGATGCTGGGATGATACCTTCCAACGATTATCGTCGACTTTCGACTCGACGGTTTCTGCTGCACCAACTTGCATTCGGAGTTATATTATAATTTCTTTTCACGACAGTCTTTGGCGACTAGACTTGAATCGGTCGCTCTCTGCTACGAGCGTTGCTTGCATTGCATTGCAGCAGCCACCATCACTTTTGGCTGTGCTGCAGTTTATTTTTCGCTTCTTCACTTCACTTTTTGTGAGGTCTGCATTACTTTTCGACCTTTGCATTCATACCATACCCCATGTATAGACCGGGTGCTTTTACCTTTTACCTTTACCTACTTCTACTGACGCTTCTTGTACGTGTACATGATACCTTGATTTGTGCCACTGAGGCTATTGTTTGATGATGTATTTACTATTACACACTACCTTACTACTACTACTTACTACTTACTACTTAACTGATCATGAATCTGAATTCTATTCATTCATTTCACTGTTGATTTTGATTCGGCCTTTGTTGGCCGATCCGGGTAGTACGAGTGCGACGACCAATGATGATACCGCGCAGACAGACAAAGAATACGAACTGAACTGAACTGCAGATTACTGTCATCTCCATTCTTTATCTCCTATCTCAGTGAATCTCCTTCCTTTGCAGAAAAGTGGGTTCCCTTGATCGAAGGTCTACCACACTTACATCCTCATCGCGTCTACATCTACATCTACATCCACAACAACAACACCATCACCATCACTATCTCCAACTCCAACCAACATAACAGGATAACAGTAAGTACTACACAAACCCATCCCTACTACTACCACCACCACAACTACTCCCTTCTATAATCCCAACCCAACTAACTTCCCCTCAGAACCATCCTACCAACATCATCAAACATCAAAATGTCCAACACCACAACCACAACCACAACCACCAATAGTAATAACAACAACAACCCGCACAACATCCCCCCCTACACCCCCATGACCTCCCTCTCCCACGAACTCGGCATCCTCTTCGGCTTTCTCGCCGCCTGTTTCGTCGTAATGGGCGTGTATGTTTTCTTCTGGAGAGGTATATACCCTCTTCCCCCCCAAATACACTCATATAATACAATACACTCAAATGACAAAAATTGACAATGAAACTCATCTAATATCTGTGGGGTATGTGGCTAGCCGCCGAATTCCGCGAAGAACGCGCACAAACCCTCCGGCGACAAATGCTTCTCACGCGGGGGATTCATCACGGACGGGGTGGGATTCGGGAGAAGTTTATTGTTTCTCAACATCATGGACATGGACATGTGCATGATGGGAGGTGCTTGGATGGGAGTGTAGGTGGAGGCTTACATCAAAGGAATATCACGCCGGAGAATTCTGCATCTGCTGGGACTGGGGCTATGTATAAGCAAGAGAATGAGAATGAGATCGGGGTGGCGTTGACGACGGGGATGGATGTGGGTATTGTTGCGTCGCCGAGTTTGGGGCCGATGACTCCGACTTCGGTTTCTGCTGGTGCTGGGAGGGAGATTCCGGTGGGTGGTGGGTTGAATATGGGAAGTAGGATGAATTTTAATCAGGGTGGTGCTGGTGCTGGTGCTGGTGGTGCTGGTAGGGATGAGATGGAGTATGGGGTTGAGATGGATGTATTGGGGTTTTTGCAGAGGGGACGGTGATTCTCATTTTCTCAATCAGTCAATCTAATCAAGTGGTGTTCATGTCTATTTACCCACATCTACTTATTCTGTTGCTAGCTAGCTAGCTATCTATCCATCTCTTTCACTACATGCCATACCATAGTAAGTAGAAGACTAGTATACTATACTGCATACTGCATACTGCAACCTACTTCCCCATCGCAACAAACAACCGATCCCCAATATCCCCCAGCCCTGGCACAATCATCCCCCGCTCATCACACCTAGCATCCACGGCCCCAGTCCACACCTCCACGCCCTCAGGCCAAGTGCCCGCCGCGCGAAGCACACCCGCCTCCGAACCCAACACACTCAACATGACGACTCTCTGCACGCCCCATTCACGGAGTAACTGAATTGCTGCTTCAGCGGTAGCACCCGTTGCAATGACCGGATCAAGGAGAATGGCTGTGGCCGCGGCGGCGGTGTTAGTACTGGAACTGTCGGGCTGGAAGGGCAGGTTGTTGTAGTATTCGACGGGTTGGAGGGTGAGACGTTCGCGGAAGAGACCGAGGTGGTAGATTGGGACGGAGGTGGGGAGAAGGTTGTTCATCGCTGTTTAAACCATAATCAATTTTGTTCAGTTACGGCCTGACAGGTCATTGGGGTGTGAGGAATCAGTTCTTGGGGGGTGTATATGGGTGCCCGAGATAGGTAGTAGTATGGGGTAAGGGAATAATACCCTCTATCATGCCCAATCCGGACCGGAGAATAGGCACCAAGGCAATGTCCGAAGGATCAATGTCGTGAGTGACGTATTCGGTGCCTAACGGGGTGGTATCCTGTCCAGAGAAATTAGTCAGTAAATACATTGAAGATTGTTTAGTTGACGAGTGAACTTACCATTCCTGCTTTCTTCACCTTCCATCCTGCTGCAAATGCCTCCACGCCCAAGATAGTCGCTATCTCGTGCACCAGACTGCGGGTCTCGCGGGTCGAGGTGGATGCGGACCGGAGCTGTGAGAGCTTGGCTTGGAGGAGGGGATGGGACGAAACGTGGACGTTGGAAGGGAGGGCCATGATTGATTCAGTTGGGCGATAGTGAAGTGAGTGTGATAAGGTGAGGGGAAGAGGGAAGAAGAATCAGGAGCTAACTATGGATGGAGTACTTGTACTTGTAGGATCAGGAACGGGCATCATTGCTTGCTGCAGAAGCAAAGAAGAGGGGTAAGCACCAAGTCACCTGCTCCGGTCCAGTGATCCCCCAAATTCCAGTCTCTGCAACTTCCATGGATTTCATTCCTCTTCATCTTCTTTCAGTTCACCTCATTCCCCGCGATTGTCGGCCTCCTTTCTTTCCTGATAAGCACCCGCGAACCAGATCCCCCACCGATCCACCGTGCTGGTTGACCCACTCTTTCACCTCGTCGAAAAAGCCAACTCCAGCTAAGTCCAGCCAATTTAGCCAGTTCAACAACTCTACAACTCTACCATTACTGCAACTGCAAAGACCCCGCCAACAAGTTATATTTTCTGCGCAAATTACTATGGTACAGAGAACTACTGATAAGGTCAAGCAAAGCATGTGCAATTAAACAAATCAAATCAAGAAGGCCAAAATCAAAGCAATTGAAAGCAGATCAAATCAGAGCGGAGAACATCAACGGCGGGGACACATAAACACATCACTATATCAAACGATTTAACGCAATACATTAAGTGGTCACGAACAAAGTAATAGATCAAAAGGTTGAACGAATGACTTGAAGCAGAAGAATGTATATAACGGACAAAGGTATCAAAAATGGCCTAGGGTAACCCCATGGCAATTGACCAAACACGCTGATGCGCACATGTAGAACGGAGGCACTAAAGATTAGGGCGTAGAAGAGCGTATAAGAAGAAGGCAATGAAAACAACAACTCCACCGAGTGCTAGGACGAACACACAGGACCAGCCGGGTGTCGAGATGTTGCCTTGGGAAAACAACCCACAAAAACAAGAAAATGACCACACCGGACTCCCGTGAGCTCTTGCGAAACCATAACGCAATGAAAGACGTCGCAGAAAACAATAAAGCATTTAACTGTGAGCCAGGGAACGCCAGCAAGCAGCATAATGCGGCAGTTCAGATCATGGCATTCCCTGGGGAACCCTGCCGCCACTTGCTCGCCGTTCCCGACCCAATCCGAAATCCACCAGCGACCCAAATCAGATGTAAACCAATGCCCGCGTAAGGAATGAATGTAACGATAATGAAGATGAACTTAAGTCGAAGATGTAGATGACCATAGTCAAGCTACCTATCCGTCGAGTAGAGATGTTGCTCGCACTAGTACGCGGTGCCAACGCTGGCAAGCGTCTTCGTCGGCATTGGGTGAATAGGTTGGTCCTTGGCAACGCGCAACGAATCTTCGTAGCCGACCAAGGCCTGGGAATGAAGTTTGAATGACTCGCCCATGAGCTTCGTAATTCTGTTTCAAGTTAGCAAACAATATCACAGCATAATCATAGCAGAAAACAACTTACCCCCAAACTACCACGCCGTCTAGGATGTTACCCCATACACGGGCCACGGTGGAGCTGAGTTTTCCAAAAGCATCGACGGCGTCATCATCAAACAGATTCCGCACCTTATTGTAGATGGCCATCTCAGCCTCCGATGCGGGCTCTTCGTCATGTTCCAGGCGATAGAGCCAGAGACTGAGGATGACCATCAAATCCAAGCCGCAGAGAGGATGCTCGACGCTCCAGTTGGTTGCAGATGTCTTGGCGACCCAGTTGATGCCCTGAACAGCGGCGATCTCAATGCACTCAAAGCACGACTGGATCACCTTATTCATCTCCTGAGACCGCTTGACCTTCTCGCGAGCGACCGTCATCGCAGCAGCGACCTCGTAAGATGAGTGGTAGCGCAGAGCCTCCTGGATGGACTTGAGGTCAACTTCCAGGCGAGCGCGGGTGTTGCGGTAGACGGCCATCGAGTTGAAAATCAAGGGGTGGCCCTTTTGAGGGGTGCTGAGAGGCACCACAATCGTTTCTGGCTCGCACACTTCAAGCGAACTCTCCCACGTCTCCAGCGCCAAGCGGAGCTTGTATTCGGTCACCACGTCCTGGAGGGCCTCGAAGCTCCTCTTGTGGTTCCAAACTTGCAGGAAGAGCGCGTTGATCAGCACGCGAGTGGCGAAAGCACTGTAGCGCGTCTGCTCGCCCTGGAAAAGGCAGTCGTGCGCTTCACGAACAGTAAGCGGCGTGGAGGACGCCAAGCTGCGACGCCATGCCTCATCGTCCATCACATCCAGGTTCCACATGGATTCCGAGGAAGGCAGCTCCAAGTTGTCAAACTCGTCAAAGCTCATCGCTGGGGTGTGGTTGAAAGTCAGCGTGAGCATGCCGAAGAAAATGTAAACGGCGTAGTACGTCCGGCGACATGACTCGTCCTCGATCCACTCCTCGCGGGTCGGCTGAGCACCCTCGCGCGCTTCGGTCCGGAGCTTCAGTTGATAGCGGTTTCCGGCAACCATCTACATTTATCAGCATCATTCAAAATAGTACAATAAAGAGAGGGAACGCGCTTACGTTGGCCAGAAGACTCTTAATGGAACAGGTCCATTCGAGGCCCTTGGGATCACCGCTCCAGCTCTCGAAAATCATGTTCAGCAGGGTGCTTTGCATGGCCCAGAGAGGGCACTTGCGCGAGTCAAAGTTGTCCTTATGTTGCAAAAATTGGTTGACCAGCATCTTGGACCCCACGTGGAGCATGAATGCATGCTGCCGCTCAAAAGTGTACAGAGCACCAATAGACAGGACCGCGAGCAGCAATGGCGGTGAAGTAGCGGTGGGCTTGAAAGACTCTTGGTGCAAGAACGGCAGGTGAGGGTGGTACAGATTGAAGTACGTGGAGAGATACTTGTTGAGAGATGCGGTCGGAGGCAGCTGGAAGGTCTCGGGGAGCACATTGAGAGAATCCACATTGTGCAGACGTTCAACAACCATGTTTCGCTCGATCTCGTTGGCAATCTGCGGGGCCTTGGGCAGCGTCAGGGCTTGGCTAGGACCGGGCGACCGGCGGTAGTTTACTGGACTGACGGGACCGGTCATCGAGGGATACGGCGAAAGCGCATTCGGCGTCGAGTTTCCAGACATGGGCAGCGAGTTCACTAGGGAGTGCAGCGAGGGAGCAAGCGCATCACCCACAGCGCCGTGTCGGTCCATAACCGAGGGCAGCGTATGCGATTCCGAGCCACTGTCTTGAGACACGAATGGCGATCCCATCGTGTGCTTCGTGTCCGCAGGGGAAACCAAGGTGTCCCAAGGCATCTGCGGCAAGGTCGCGTTGCCCGACATGTACGACACAGGAGGCTCTAGTAGAGGACCGCGTCCAGGGGAAAAGGAGCGATCCGATTCAGCACGTTCATTGGCTTGACCAGTAGCGGCGGCTGCGGCCTTATGTTGGAAATCTGTCATCAACATGGCTGCAGTTTCAAGATCAACCATACCATCACTGCTGGCCTCTATTTGTTCGAGAGTAGCAGGATCAATTGTGATCGAGGGCTTGGACGGGGCGGGTGCGGGGGAAGTCTTTTGGACACCCGCGCCACCACGTCGCCGGCCCTCGGAAACTAGCGGTATCCCACCGTCCTTTGCGTGAACGGTACGGTCATGACGAAGGAGTAAATCACGACGGACAAAAGTACTCCGGCACTTCAGACACTTGAACGGCCTCTCCTTGGTATCTATGAAGCAACGAAGGTTAGTATTATGCCCTAAGACTAAACGACGCGAAACAGAGCCGTAGCACAGTAACTAGCCTGTCTGCACAAAGACAGTACACCTAGCCCCGCGCACAGGAAAAGAAGACCATATAGAAAAGAGACCACTCTACTTACGCGAACGTTCGTGTCTGCTGCGATGTTCGCTTCTGCTAAAGGCGCGATTACAAAATTGGCACTTGTATTTCTTCTCTGGGGCTGATGTCTTCTTGGCTGGCGAGTTGGTCGCCTGGGGAGGTGCAGTGGGAGCCATTGCTGAGAATACTGCAGCGAATATACAACCACGGCTGGATTCTAGTAGAACAGCGACAAGATCGAAGACTGCGCTATCGTCCCTTTCGTGATTTCACACCGGTTCTGTAGGCGGGTAGACGACAGGAATTCGGTTTGGTGCCTGATCATTCCTTGTGTGGGGGAATACTGGAGGGCAGTGTTGAATTGGAAGAAGGAGGGTCCAGCCACAGGCGGACTAGGAGGGGAGAATAGTGTGATAGCGGGTGGTTGTAATAGTGGTGGTGATTGTGTGGAGGCAGTCTTTAATAAGAAGCCGGGGAGGGGAAGTACCAAAGGATGGGAAAGACAGAACGGGAAAAGACAAACAAGAGGGAAAAGGAAAAGAAAAGAGAAAAAAGGAAGAGAGCAAGATGTTGAATGCTGACCCAGGAAAGAAGAGGAGAGAGAAAGAGGAGGAGGGGGAAGAAGGAAGGAGGAAGACGTTTGAGAGAAGAGGGAAGAGGGAGGAGGAGGAAAGGAAAGGAAGAGAAAAAGAATGGGTAAGAGGAGGGGGGGGGATGTTGAATGGATGAGGAGAAAGTAGTTTGTGAGTCGCGGGAGAGAGAGTCTGGGAAAAAAAGGCCTGGTCGAAAGGAAGGGAGCGAGGGGGGGGGGAAAGGGAAAGACTGCGCAAAGAGGAAAAGTGGTGTGGGTGTAGAGAGAAGCGCGCCAGGACGTGGGCACAAGCCGATGGGCGATTCGGGCGATCGCTGGATCGCGACAGTGAGGCGGTCGTGTCCAGCGGCGGTGTTGGCGATTTGGGCGACGAGCGGCGCAGCGACAACAGGGAAGTGGGAGGCGGGAAAGAGGGGCTCCCTCGGCGGGACTGACGGAGGGGGAAAACAAGCGAACAGGCCAGTCCCCGGATTCGAACACGCACTGGGGCCCATAATGCCACTGTCTTCATTCCCCGACAGCCAATGGATGTGCCCGTTGCCCATCCTGACTAACGGCGTGCCCGGGCTAAACGGAACCTGGTTAGGACACGTCCACCTTTCCTTCGGTGACCCATATTTCGAAAAGAGACACAAAAGTTCAAGGAAATAAGCAAAAATGAAAATGAAAATGCAACAAAATTCAACAAAAAATGGATTTAACTGCAAAATGATGAATAATAATATAATAGAAATTAAATAAAATAAATAAATAAGTTATACAAACTAGACTATCTACCCAGCTAAAAGAACAGACAACAAAACAAAGCAGTAGCCCAGCCCACCGCAGCCCACATGGGCCGTACAGTAAGTAGTAAGTAGACTTCCAACCCGTCAACCCGGTTCAGCCGGGGGGCCTCCTTCGACTGGCTGAAATCGACCGTTTGTTAGAGGTCTTGGGTTGATGTGAGGGAGAATCTTATCCACTCTCCATTTTCCATTTTGCACCCACCATTACTGCTACTGGAAAAGGCAAAAATGGAAAATGGAAAATGTGAGGAAAAAAAATGAAAATAAAATAAAACAAAATCGAAAAGAAACACAATGATCTCAATATCCGAGAAAATAATCCGAGCAGAGAAAAAGAAATTTTACTCTTCATATGCACAACATTGGGCAGCATCCTACATGTTTCCCCTGGTGAGTTATCGCGACTCAAGATGTGATCTGGACAGATTTGGATCATGGTTATCATGATGATCAGTTTTGTTGTTGGTGGGTTGGCTACAAAGTACACCGTAGTTAGTCGTCACATCTTGGGAACATTATACATCCCCTCTCTTACACAGCGCACAGTCGATACTCTCATGATCAAATACCCCCTGCTAGGGTTAGCCCACTCGGATAATGCTCCTATCCCTGTTTGGTGATGGCGCCCCTCGCTCACCTTTCAGCGGTCGAGTGCAGGACCCTAGAAGGATAATAATGGGCCAGCAGAGCTTCTACGGTGTATTCCTGCGACCTGCCTAACTGACCACACAAAAGCCATGCCGGAGCTGGGATGGCAGGCTCGACTTTCTACTTTTACTCTCCCACTTCCCATTGATATTATTTCATAGTGGGGTTTGGGGTGGAATGAGGACTCCATACGGTATGGTATGTAACTTTGTTCAGTGGGTACAAGTGGTAGCTCGATGGGTACAATGCAGTGAGGAGGACACTGGACAAGACTTCAGGTTGTCTTAGTAACCTCGAGGCGGACATGACTAGCACCGAGAAATTGAGTGAGGTTCGGATTACCTGCTGCAAACTACCTCAAACGTATCGGGTGCAAGTAAGATGAGTAAAAGCCAAAAAGTCATCCCTCTTGCCCATCCCTATGTGACAGCGCAGAAATCGCAAACTTGGTACAGTCGGCTGCGGGGCCGTCCAGAAGACAGGTAGATACTGTCATTGACCATTGTCAGTAGACAAAGGTCAGGGCAAAGCATTAGACTACAATTCCAGTCGATGTATCTTGGTCATTGCATGGACATGGTCCACAGTAATTAGAGGGAAAGAGAGTGCTCGATAGATGAGAAGAAGAAGGGGGTAAAAGGAACAGGCTCGAATAGGTTAGATTGGTTTGGCAGGTTTAATTGAGAATCCATCGCAGACACGCACTTTCACACCCTTTCTTCTTGTCTCTCACAAACTCCCGTCCAGCCAACAGATTAGTGCCCCCCCTCCCCTCCGTCCCCTCTTTTTTTCCTACAAAATTATTTTTCTTTTCGCCCCTCGTCAGCCCCCTCCCTTGCCCCTCCGGCAGGGATCCAGCACCGTCAAAATGCCACGGAGACGCACCGCCATCATGATTCGTGTATTGGCTCCCTTCATTTCCACCACGGAATCTCTTCACACCCCAAATCAAGTGGTCGATTCGTCCAAACCGGGCTCCCATTCCTCACGCTGATCGTACCTACGTACTCATCTCATCCTTCAATAATCCGCATAACTATCTTCAACCATCATCATCATCCCTTTTTTTATTCCTTTTTTTTTCTTCTTCTAGATCATCTCATGTTACCCCATTTGTATTCTATCCCGCCACCCACTTCCTTACCCCTCTAACCCCTCTAACCTCCCCCTCCTTTCCTCCCCTCTTCGTGAAGTCTAACCCTTCCTTAACCCCTCTTTGGTAAATCGGCTCACTGAGATCACCGCTGGTATTCCCTACTTATGTCGTAAATAACCCACTAGTTATTTGATAATCGGCCACCCGCCGCAAGGCTGGTCATGACTTCATTTCCATGCGATCCAATTTGTGTGAGTGGGATTGCCCGTCTAACTCCGACTAGAACTAGCCCCGGTGGATCTTCAAATCGAGCGCTGCCGTTGTTCCAGACCCCCTCCCACCTCCGTTCCCCTTCTTCCGTCCGTCACAATGACGAGTGTTGGTTCATTCGAACGTCTACAAAGTACAAATATAGAATGGTTCGCGAAATGCGCTCGCGAACCACTTCCGCGAACACAAGAGCTTCGCGCGGCATCCTGGATTTAATCCTTCACGTTGCCAAGTCAGTTGAAGCCAGATAGAAGACGGGGGATGAATCGTGCTTGGCTGGTAAAAGCCACCCGTCATCACGCAGCAATAGGAGAATATTGCTGACGATGTGATGTCTCTCAGTTTGACAGATCATCGCCCAGTCTATCGGTAGCCTAAAGAACACACCCCAACATCCCTAAATTTCTGGCAAGCCTCTTGGCCTTCATTGGTTGTCCCCTGGACCAAATAGGTAAAGAAAAGAAGAAAAGGGAAAATAAGAAAAAGGAAAAAGAACTATCTTGACAGAAAAAGCTAATCGTGCTATGCACTGCGAACGCCAGAATGACCTTGGGTCCAAGGTGGTCAAGAGGTTCAAACATGGCGCATGGTTTGCCTCCCACTTCAGCTCAGGGTCAGCTGCTCCAGCGGCCGCCAACACGACAGCCAGCGTCAGCAGGTGAAGGAAATCAAGGGTCAGAAACACAACCCTCCGTAAGGCGATGGACGCTGTTTCGTTTCCAATTCTGCTTGCTCGCTTGCCAAACTCCATTTCCCCTCCTCCCCCCACCTTCAACTTAGTACTTTGGAAGCAATCCAGTGGATTCGGCCACCCAGCGTGTGGGCGGGCTACATCAGGTGTCCTCGTTCGTGGAACACCAAACACTACCGAATCACTCCATCCTGGGCGCTAAATGGATAATGCAAAAGCTTGAGACAGCAGACAGAAGTCATGTTCTGGAGCGATCCAACTTGGGAGCTTGGGAAGATGCAGGACTGCATCATCCCCAAACACTATTGTTTCTGTTTTTGGCAGTTTGGCATCCAAGCCGAAGATGCATCAACCTAAGACCGACTACCTAGTCCCAACTGCATAAGTGGCATGGGGAATCCGGCCCTTCGACAGAGAGAGTTAGTCTGAAGCCAGAGGTACCCTAGGGCAGGTTACTTGTGGCTGCCTGCACGCCCGCAGTCGCGCCTAACCAGCCTCACTCGGAGACGCGCCCTCGTTCCGCGTCTCCGTCGAATAAGTAAACGATCCACCTTGAGGAGGGGGAATGATTACATACGTAAGTAGACAAGTAACTACTTAGCTATCTACACGGTGCAAGTACTGTGAACAAATGTGTCACGGTCAGATGACGGTGGACGATAGTTCCGAGCCTGTCCTTGGCCCCTTGGTTCGACCACCACAGACAATCCCAGACTTGGTTCTGAATCTATGATGTGGGAAGGGGGATTCGACTATGAGTTAGAATAGTCTTAGATACATGTGCTTCATACTGAATCACAGAAATTATGAGGCCTATTTTCATCCTCGATCTCAGCACAGTATCATCATAATCATCATAGTCAACATCACCACCACCACCACGAAGGTTCCCGGAAAATCCCGGCATGCGAGTGGGGCATCACTGGGTGGACCTCAAGGAAACCCCACCAGACACGGTTAGTTACTAGGGAAACGCACATGATCATGAGGGGAGCACAAAAGTACCCCAGGAGGATCGCATACATCCGATAGTTATCCAGAACATTGAATCAGTTTAATTTATCTTTCCACCGCCACGACCGAGGGGGTGGTGCTTTGAGCTCTCACTGCCTGCGGATCATCTGGGCGCAATGTATCGACTATCGAGTTACCGAGAAGCGCCCTTCCAACATGCCCCTAGGATCAATCCGGTCACGATCGCTATCCACCAAATGCATGTCACTGACTACTCTGTACAGAAAGAAAAACACTAGGATAGTCTGACTGCTATCATGCTAACCATCGATTGTGATAAGCCAGACAGACAGTCACTTCCATCATCCCATGATAAACAGCCCTAGAGGCATCAGCGATTCTGCGTCTCCACCCAGAGGGATCCGTCCAGATGCAGGCCCCAGAATCCTAATCAGCATTAGTGCCTGAGCAACCCATTCTTACGTACTCCAGGCTCACCGCTTTCATCTGCCATGAGCTCGGCCTGCAGGAATAAAGCGGTGAGTCGGGGCGCTTACGCTTTTGAGAAGGTCGGAAAAGGATGGACAACAGAAAGATCAAATCCAGACACTCGGCCTGCTCTCACACGTCCAGCCGCCCGAATTTCTACCTCCTCGGCTGGAGGTCGAACCCTGGCAATTTCGATTCGTTCACCATCTCTTCCTGGATGCTTGATCCACTTTCCGAGCCATGCAGCGGTCCGACCCAGTCAACGCCTCAACTTGTCCTGTATCTCATGGAAGGATGTTATGAGCTTGCAGGTTCAGGAACGACGCGAGATGTTGACGACGACCTGCCAGTTGGTCGAAAGGGTGTCAATAACTTGGGAACAAGTCGCTTGGGGTTTCATCTATCAGGCAATATCCAGCACCTGCGTACGGACCATGCATCGATTTCCTAGACCGGCGCACGGGGTCAAGAGAGGGGGGCAATAGTGCAAAACTCCCGTACATACCGATCCTCCCAACCATGATCGATCATTTCCGATCCAGGCTCGCTTTTCTCCGGCGGGAGCGTGTCCTCCATACCTTTGGTGATTCGGTGGGCTTGGTGTCCAGTCTCTTGGATATCATCACTCGATTTTTCTCACGCGTTTTGGAACACAAAAAAGGGGCCTAAACCTCAAAAACCAGTCTCGAAAAGCGAAGAAACCTCCTTCTAGCTTTCTGATTTGGCTCTTTGCCCTGCAGCTACCCGTTCCATTTCCTCCTTTGCACCAAAGATGCAGTCGATCAGCTTCGTCGCGAAGGGTCGATCGCCGGATTCCACAACCATGGCTAATGAATCTTCAATTGAATTCCCACAGGGCGTCTACGATCCAGTCAGGCGCGTCCAACTCCACCAGGTACCGTTGCAGGAAATCAGGAACCTCTTCCCCGAAACCCCGGCCCTTACACTAGCAAGCGTCGGCAGCCATCCCAGGCTAGGAAGTGGAAGAAAAAGTCTACTTATCTCGGCTGGCGCTCATCGTCCCGACAACTTTGGGACTTTGGCGGTTTGCATCGACCCTGGTCGGCGGCGCCCGTGATCCGTCCATCCGTCACGTAATTAGGCAGTAGTGCTCCGTACTAAGTGCCCCTCCATCTCCGAACGGTCTGGAATATCCCAGGCGGGCATCCCTGGAGTCGGTGAAGGATGTCAACCATCACCGTCTCGGTGCCGTTGGGGATTGATCTTGATCCCCGTGGAAGGATTCCTTGACCGCTTCTAGATACCATCAGGTTGGGCATCCCTTTTCTACACATGGCATTGAGAATATGGTCTGCTGTCATGAGAGGTCCCACAACCTCTTGGATGAACAACAAGTTTCCAAAGCATACGGTGTCAAAGCAGAAGACACGGGTCCAAGACACAGAACATTTTCGAAAGAGCAGATTCTCGATAATGAAAGCGACCCACTCAATGATGAACCCGCTCTTTCCAGCTGATAAGCTGCTCCATCTGTGGGTTGGTACTCCGGAATCCCGTCTGACCAGTTTTCCATCTATTTTTTTTTTTTTTTTTTTTTTTTTTTTTTTTTTTTTTCTTTTTTCTTTCCTTTTTCTTCAATTTTTCTATCTTTCCCCTCCACCGCAGCGCTCCGCTTTTCTTTTCCTGGTTTGTGCGTTGTGCGATGCCCTCCCCTAACCCTAGACCTAACTTCAGCAGTTCCACTGACATCGGCAGTTACTTTAGCCTGGTGGCAATAGCTGCGATGGAGCCCGCCAAATACGGTAGTTCGTTTCGCGTCGCGCCATCAACAAAGTGATGTATACATCGTAGGAGCCTAGTTCGGCATGATTCTCGATGGATGGTGTCGTAGTCCAGTATTTTGTAGACATGTAGTACATGCAATCAGCTAAACCATGGAAAGCTATCTGTCAGTCGGGTTCGTGGTCGGGATATCGGTTGCGTTCCATGGTTCGCTCCCGTCGGTTCCTGATGATATACAGATGCTACGACACGGAGTCCGGATTCTGCTCCGTGGTTTATCGGAGGCTTGTGGTTAGTGGTAGGGAACTTGTAGATACTGGGATCTGACACTGAGAATGGTCGGGACTATGCGATGTGACAAGTTATCATAGTATACTATCTAATACACCCCTGGATGCTGAAATATATATCGTGGTAGCGAGTATATCCCACGGGATGTAGTTTCTATAGAGGCTACTGTAGTATATATTTCATTCAAAACCAAACCAGTTATATTCTTATGTCGATGAGAACTAGTAGCAACGGAAGTACTAATGTCATCGATGATATTCCCCCCAATTTAACAGATGACTTCCTTTATAGGAATCCCTGACCGAAGTAACCAAGTATAGAGCCGACACTATCGCCGGCACCTATACATGTCATTAGGATACTACAATCTCCCATACTATCAACAACATGCGCTCTAAACCCTACATTTACTATTAGTATCTATTATTTACTCTCAGCCAAGCAAACAGGAATTTCTTTACGAAATGAGCTACCCTCCCAACCAACCAAGCAAAGTACTACGACCTCTTCGATCAACAATCTACTAAAACACAATGTAAAACCCAATCTCAAAGCAAGTCAAAGAAACGAATCGCTTCCCGGACCCATACAGTATTTCTCCAAGTAAATACAGCGGGATTCAGAAAAATCATGGGGAATACTACATAATGATAGCACAAGTCTAGAACACCACCAACAGATTGAATAAACTAACCAATCAACTGAACTAGAATGCACAACACCCATCGCCAGCCATTGTATACCTACACAACTAACTACAAATTCCTTTACTTCCTTCTCAAAACCCAACAAATATTCCGTACTAATTATAAAAGTGAAAGAAAAATCTAGAAGTCCCTAATCCATAAAAATCAGTCAGTCCTCTTAAAATAACTCCGTCCCACCCACCACCAGAAAACCAAAAGAAAAAGAAAAAGAAAAAGAAAAGAAAAGAATCCATCGAATCCCTCGAAAAACCTTCTCGAAGCACTCCACCCACCCACCCACACCACACCATCCATCGATTCGCAATCAAATCGGATCCTTCGCCCACATCATCCTACCAACCGGATGTTTGGGAATCAAGGAAAAACAGTGGTTCTTGAAATGATAGTGAATGCAAGAAAAAGGGGGAAACGGGGGGTGAAAAAAACTAACTTTTAAGCTGAGACTAACTAGTACGTGGACAAGTGAGTTGGGATTGGTTGAGGAATGAAAGGGTGCGCGGAAAACGGGATGTTGATCAGCTACTAATCATTCTACTTAGTTAGAAAGCTAAGGTTTTATTTTCTTTCGCGGTTCTGTTCAGTTATCAGCCATCTACGTGAGTGTTGCCACTGATCTGAGGGATTGGTTCGATTTACTTTGTAGGATGTAGGATGCCTTGTTTGAGTTAGTTCAATTGAGGAGGATGGAGGACTGGATGGGTGTGGATGATGGATGGGCTAGGCTCGAGAGTTTGGGGAGATGCCGGTGGTGGTGGTAGTGGGTATCGGAGCGCCCGGGTATAACTAATTGTCCATCTACCTGAGATTTAAGGAACTTGTTTGCACTACCCTATGGGATATGTCTAAGGAAAAGTCGCCGGAACTTGGGTTCCTGCCTGCTCTGCTCATTTCCGTGTATTCCGTCGTTCTAGTTCTAGTTCTGTTCAAGTAGACTAGTGTCGGACTCGGGATCTAGGCAGGGATGAATATGTTTCATTCTAGATTACGAAGTACTCTGCTTACTACTTGACCATTGTTGTGAATGTGGGAAGTAACTATCCCTTGATATTCCGGAGAGGGGTATGATAATCACTTGCTAAGCCTAGTGTCTGTAGTAGTAGATTGACAATATGTAGTACTGTGAGGGGGATCATCTTTTCTCTAATTTCCCCCCTCCCCCTAGTTATGGTGCCCTTGCTGATTACCCCTCGTGATGATCAGAGGAGTAATGTATTGCTGTTAGGACATTAGATGTAAATTGAGAAGCAAGGTGTTAAGACATTGTCAGTGACTGATTGGTGTTTGTTTTTAAGCTTATCAATTGTTGTTTTGCAGATTGTGTGTCTTGTTGTACTGGCCCATGTGCTATTATTTCTTCACACTACTTTATACGACTTAAGAACTTTATTGTAGAGTATAAGCATTAATGATCATTAGAGTCAATCAACCTAGTTGCTCGTGTCTATATATGTCCACCAGGAAACTACCCAGTATCTACTGTATATGTACACTCAGCCTACAATGCCCCTACGCCATCATCGCATCCACGAATTACCCCTATATATATCAATTCTACATAACCATATCACAAAGTAACCTTCAACATGATTAAAATCTAACATGAATCTCGTACACATGCCCTCATTCCACCCTCTCCCCATCACATAAATGTTACCACCTCATCACCACCTCACCATCCAACGTCAGCCCATCCCTAGTACACCACTTATCCCCATTCTCAGCCCCAATCTCTTCTGCACTCAGACACAACAACACCCGCAAATATCCCAGCTCGCACTTAATCTAACCAGCAAAGCAACAAGCCCTCCGTAAGCTGACACACCACCCCAATATCAATATCAATACCTCGGCAGACCCTCCCCAGGACCGGCCGAGGAATATCATACCGCCACAGTCACCACCACCACGTTCTCCTTCCTTCCTTCACATGCTTCCATCCCATCCCCCCATCTACCCACACAATGGAATAGATTATCAAGTCCAACATTCTAGAATGCACAAAGATGACGAATCCACCCACCCACCCACCCTCCCGTCTACCCGCTTCCTCCCGATAGCCAACTATTAGATAGTCACTATGGAGTACAAATGCCGATATATCTCCGACCACAGACTGTTAACCTAGTCTGGAAGGTACATACATAAAATTGTATCAGTTTGAAACGGCCTAAATGGAGTAGAATGGGAGTATAGCCAATAGAGGCAGGAGGAATAGTATGGCTAGCTACGTGGTAGGTTACGGTCCGTCTGACGGGGTTGATGGCACGTGGGTGAGGGTTATATGCTTAGTTTTGGGGTATTAGGTTGAGCTTGAGCTTGAGCTAGTGGTGAAGAAAGGTAAGATGTAAGATAATTGGTACTGTACTGATGAGGGTTGTGGTAGATAATGAGCAGTGTCCACTGGCTGTAGATATGTCCGAGTATGTGCGAGATTGGGGCTGGCTTGATTGTTGCTGTTGGTTAATTAACTACCAGGTATCTGCGTAGGGGGGCTGTATTCGGAGTTAGTTCCTGTTAGGGCTAGAGGGTGAGAGTAGCAGTAGCAGTAGGGGTTTGGTGGTTGGTATTGGGGGTGATGGTGTTACGTTTGCTTGGATATATGATTGCTTGGATGATCGAGGGTCGTGGTTCTGTATTGCTTATGATATGATGTTGACGTATAGATGTCCTAGGCTTGTGATGGATAAGAGATAGTAGTGTATATATTGAGTTAATATGCAGAGTTATTATAAAGAGACTATATGTGGGTAAATGTAGATGTCTCGAAGTTTTGCAAGATAGTAGGGTATTGGGTTAGATGATTGCTGGATAGAGGAGGATACATTGCTTTTTAAGCTACAGAAATAGTGATAAATTATTGGACACTATTACTTTGATTACGATCTTCCTGGTGGATCCTCAAAATTTATCATAGCTGTGATGTTGGGCTTTGCTTTAATGGCATTGTGTCCTATGTAGACATCAAAAAATCTTGCATTGGATATGCCTCGCTCCGTGTAACATCTAGTGTCGGTTATCATATAAGATACTTAGCTATAAAGAAAGATTGCAAGAAGCTTTTAAGGAGGTTGCACATGTACAGGTAACATAGCGCTGTTTGTGCATATATTTGTGTTGTAGTGGTCTTCGGCAACCAATGGCTTAATATGGAAAGAATGAGAAATTCGTTAGATATGAACATTGATCCCCCCCTACTTTTCTATTATTGAAGGTCGCTCCTTGAGCACCTCGCTGTATATCCCAATAGATACACTGCTAGCCCAAGTTTACAACAAAGCACACCACGCTGTGCAGACAACCTACCAGTACGCTCAAGACTGGCATTTCTGCAGACAACCGTACCCCCTGCAAGACAGCTCCCTGGCCGCAGATCCTCCTGCATGCTGATATAGAACCCTAGTCATTTCAATCCCGACTGGACCTAATCGACTGGTGTGCGCGGTTATTGGTATAACCGCAGTATGCCTCGTAGCAGTTAGTCTGAACTCCTCCGAGCGTAAAGCCAATGAT